TTTGTTGTTTTGGTTCTGGTGGCATAGTGGTTAAGTATTGGCTGCTAACTGAAAGGTCGGCAGTTCAAACCTACTAGCCCCTCTGCTGGAGAAAGGCATGACAGTCTGCCTCTGTAAAGATGACAGCCTTGGAAACCCTATGGGAAAGTTCTACTCTATCCTATAGGAGTCAACCATGAGTCAGAATTGACTCAATAGGTAGAGGGTTTATTTTCATTTGCACCTAAAGGCACTAAGATCCATACTTCAGGTTGGTCTCACTCTAACATGTGGGGTCCCACTGATACTAATTTTGCTGTAAAGAAGCCTTGACCAAGGGCCAAGAGGGTGGACTGTGCAGGAAAGAGTCAACCCAGCAGGCTGAGACTGCTCGGCTCGGAAAGACTTGTTTACGAGGCTAGCCTTTGACTGGCTTGGATTCACCATTCCCTCAGTGATAAACGTAGCTCACTGTGCTTTTTTTCCTGGGCGTCTGGAATTTTCATACATATGAGGCAGAGAGTGTCCATGTGACCAACCCCCAGTAAACACCCCAGACCCTGAGCCTCTAGGGAGCCTCCCTGGTAGACAACATTTTCACAAGTGTTGTCACAACTCCTTGCTGGAAGAATTCAGTGTGGCCGGTGTGACTCCACAGGGAGTCACTCTAGCCAGCTTGCACCTAGTTTCCTGCGGGAAGCCTTTCCCTTTGCTGATTTTGCTTCATACCCTTCGTTACAAGAAATCATAGCCAAGAATACAACTACATGCCGAGTCCTGGAGGTCTCCTAGGAATCATCGAACAGGGGAGCGCTTTGGGGGCTCCCCACACAGGACACAATGGCCGCTTCTAGGGGGTTGGTAAGATTCTCTTTCTCCACCTGGGTGCTGTTTCTGCGGTATGAGTTCAGTTTGTGAAAACTCATTGAGCTGTAAGTTGTGACAGGTGCACCTTTTCTGTGACTGCATTAAACTTCAATAAAATTAAAAGAAAAGAAAAAAAAGGTGGTTACACACATGAGATTAAAAAATACTTTTTTTTTTGCTTAACTTCCTTTTATTCCCAGGCATTGTGATGCGAGCAGGACATGGGGTGGAAAAGCTGGCAGAATTGTCCTCATTGTTTCCTAGTTTAATTGGGAGGCAGGTAAAGGGGTGCTTACAATATGGTTGGGAGCTCTGGTGGCATAGTGCCTAAAGGCATTTGACTGCTAACCAGAAGGCTGGCGGTTCAAACCCACCAGATACTGCCTCGGCAACCCAAGGAGGGGTCGCTATGAGTCGGGTCTGGCTCTATGGCACATAACAACAACAACAACAACAGTATGCTTGATTCTTGGTGGCTCTATCAAGGGTCACCTAGGGTGCTTCTGGCCACAGGGAAGGGGCTTCTAACTTGGCTATGTTGCCATTCCAGTATTGCCACTCAAGTCCTTACAGAAGCCAGGCAGGCCAGTGGCCAAAGGGCAGAGGTGGAAACTGGCAAAGTGGGAAGACAATTAGGCCTAATGTTGCTAAACTTGGCATTTTTTTCAGGAAAAGCCACACATCTGATTTTTTGTGTATGTGAGCTCTCTTGGTTTTTAAAGGCTGTAAATTAACTCAAAATTTGAAAAGTGGGGAGGCCAAACAAAATGCCCCCACTGGCCAGATTTAAGGAGCTTTGGTAGTGTAGTGCCTAAGGCATTTGACTGCTAGCCAGAAGGTTGGCTGTTCAAACCCACCAGCCACTCCCAGGAAGGTAGATTGGGCAATCTACTTCCGTAAAGGTTTACTGACTCGGCAACCTAATGGCGGTCGCTAGGAGTCAGAATCGACTGGATGGCAGTGGGTTTGGTTTTTTGGTTTTCACCAGATTTGGCCATAGCCCACCAGTTTGTTAGGCATTCATACCATCAGCCATTTCCCCCCTCTGACCAACAAAGTGAGTGTCCACTTTTTTTAGGCATTGGAATGGCCTATGTGAGCAAGTCAAACAGCTTTCTTGCATAGTGGGGGCTCTGGTACCGTGGTTCTCAGACTTCAGCGAGTGTAGTAATCACCTGGGCAGACCTGTTGAAAGGCAGATTGACTCAGGAGGTCTGGGGTAGGGCCTTTCTCACAAGCGCCCAGGTGATGGTGATACTGGGTCCCTGGACCTGGGTACTTTGAGTAGCCCTGCTCTGCACTCCAGAGGGGCTCAGAAGCAGCTATCATTTGGAGTCGGTCTAGGGCTTTTGCTGTGAGGTGCATTTGCCCAGCAAGCATCATGTTTTTACGTAGTTTCTATAGGGTGGCTTGGAAAAGAGTTGTGACAATGGAGGCGGGTGCAAAGCCCCAAGCTACCCCTCAGCGCTGCCAGGTCTCTCACTCTCATAGGGCTTACGTTGCAGTAGGCGGGGTGGGAGTGGAGCAAAGTGTTAGGAAAAGCTTCCTGGATGAGATGCAGGTGAATTGCAGTAGCTCGCCCAGTCGCCCGCGAAAACCACCCTAAACTTCCCTCTCCCCACGTACGGGGTCCCCGCTGTCCCAAGCCGAGGACGGATTCCTCGGCACCCCACGTGTGTGGGGTCCGTGCTGCGCTGTCAATCAAGTTTTCCTTCCCGGCTGGGTGCGGGTTTAAAGGCGGCTGCTCTACAGAGCGCTCCCATGGTGCCGCGCGGCGGGCGGGTTTGGATTTTAAATCCCCGCGGCCAATCAGTGGCGCGCAGGGTTTTGTAACGTTCCCGGCGCTGCGTTTGAATTCGAGGAGGAGCGGAGCAGTGCCGAGTGTCTACCCAGGTCCGGCTAGGTCCGCTGAGCAACTCCGAGAGTATGAGTGCGGCGGCGACCGCAGGGAAGCTGGCGCGGGCACCAGCCGAGGCGGGGAAGGCCGGAGCCCCGGGAGGAGCGGCTCCCCCGCCGGTGAAAGAGATCCCGGAGGTCCTGGTGGACCCGCGCAGCCGGCGGCGCTATCTGCGAGGTCGCTTCCTGGGCAAGGGAGGCTTTGCCAAGTGCTTCGAGATCTCGGACACGGACACGAAGGAGGTGTTCGCGGGCAAGATCGTGCCTAAGTCGCTGTTGCTCAAGCCGCACCAGAAGGAGAAGATGTCCATGGAGATATCTATTCACCGCAGCCTCGCCCACCAGCACGTCGTGGGCTTCCACGGCTTTTTCGAGGACAACGACTTCGTGTTTGTGGTGCTGGAGCTCTGCCGCCGCAGGGTGAGGGTCTCTGCCGGAGGACTGCAGCTGCCGGGACGCTGGGGCGTTGGGGACCCGGAGCAGCCGGGAAGGACTTGTTGGAAAGGAGCGCTCCGCCCGGGCCCTGGAGCTGCTAGCGAGGCTGCTGGGCACCTCCAGCTCGGGAAGGGGAGGTCTCGGGGAGGGGGTGCTTGGCACTTGAAGCTGCTGGAGGAGGGGGTCATGAGGGGCCTGAGTCCTGCTGCTGGGAAGGCGGCTCCTGCACGTGAGCTGTTTGGAGAGGGGCGGCCTCTGGCCATGGACGCAAGGGGCCCTAGAGCTGCTAGGGGAGGAGCCCGGGAGAAGACGTGTTGGGTGCCTTGGGCTTCGGGGGCGCCCGGGACGGGATATGGGGACTCGGCTTCCGGAGTGAGGCTGGGAGAGGTGTCCCAGAAAAGGATCTTGGGAGAATGGCGCTCTTAGGAGAGGGGAGTCCTGTGAACTACCGCAGCCAGGGTTAGGGCAAGGGTGCAGCTTGCAGTTGCCCATGAGAAGAGGGACAGGAACCTGCCAAGAGCCCTCCGCATATCCCCTTGCCTGCCCCTGGGGCTCCGGGGTCCAGTCCTAGCTTGCCTTGAGCGACTCCCCACCCTTGGTCCTCAATACCGCCTCTCCCTCCTCCTCCTCCTCCCCCGCCCAGTCCCTCCTGGAGCTGCACAAGCGGAGGAAAGCCCTGACCGAACCTGAGGCCCGCTACTACCTGCGGCAAATCGTCCTGGGCTGCCAGTACCTGCACCGAAACCGGGTCATTCACCGGGACCTCAAGCTGGGCAACCTCTTTTTGAACGAAGATCTGGAGGTGAAAATAGGTGAGGTGCGGGGCCCGGAGGGGTGCGCTCCACCACTGGGAAGGGGTGAGGGGTCGGGAGGAGGTGGAGGGAGGAAGAGGAGAATGATGGGAAGTCCGGGCTGCTCGTTGCCTCCAGAGCCTCTCTTAACTCCAGCAGTTTAAAATAAAGGGCCCACAAGCCAGTATCTTGCCTGCTGATGCGTTTTTCTATGTGCTCCTTTACAGTCATAAAAAAAAAAAAAAAAAAAAAGAATTAGAGATTGTTCATTTTTTCACTTGGGAAGCTTGACAGAAAATTGGATTTGGAGCTCCTTTACGATGACTGGAAGCTGCAGCAGCACCTGGACAGCATTCCCGCAGGGCAGCCCTTTGCTGGGCTGAAGGCAGCTATCATCCCCTTTAGATTCCCTCTGGTTTGCCACAGTCCCCACCCCTCTCTATTAACTTCCTCACAAACTTGCCAGACATCAGTCATGAGGTTACTTGCTTGATTCCTGTACATGTTTGAGTTTTGCGAGTCCTACCTAGTTCCCTTTTCAAAGCATAAAAAACAAAACAAGAAAACCAGACTCACTGCCCTGGAGTCAGATCCGACTCATAGCGACCCCTCCTTGGGTTACTGAGGCGGTATCACTATGGAAGTAGGTCACCCAACCTTCCTTCCAAGGAGCGGCTGGGGGGCTTGAACCGTCAGCCTTCTGGTTAGCAGTCAATTGCCTTAGGCACTTTGTCACCAGAGCTTCCTTTAAAAGCATGGCCCTCCTTTTTATGGGGGACTAGGGGACACTGGAAGGAGCTCTGGTGGTGTAGTGCCTAAGCACTTGACTGCTAACCAGAAGGCTGGCGGTTCAAACCCACCAGCCACTCCTTGGAAGGAAGATGGGGCAATCTACTTCCGTAGTGATACTGCCTTGGAAACCCAAGGAGGGGTCGCTGTGAGTCAAGGCTGACTCGATGGCACATAACAACAACAACAGGGGACACGAAGGAGCTCTGGTGGTGTAGTAGTTAAGGCATTTGACTGCTAACCAAAAGGTCAGTGGTTCAAACTCATAAGCCACCCGGTGGAAGAAAGATGAAGCAGTCTGCTTCTGTGGAGATTTACAGCCTGGAAACCCAGTGGGGGTCGCTATGAGTCGGAATTGACTCGATGACAGTGAGTGTGGTTTTTCTGGCGGGAACACTGGGAGGGAGACACTACCCTGAGGTCAGCACATGGGAAGATTCCCGGGCAGGAGTCCTCACTTGTGGGAACAAATCACTGTGGGGCTTGATGGTCGAACCTGAACCCCCTATCTGCACTGACATCTGAGCACCCCATCTTCCTCCTTCTGTCCCAGGGGATTTTGGACTGGCCACCAAAGTCGAGTATGACGGGGAGCGGAAGAAGACCCTGTGTGGGACTCCTAATTACATTGCTCCTGAGGTGCTGAGCAAGAAGGGGCACAGTTTCGAGGTGGACGTGTGGTCCATTGGGTGCATTATGTAAGTTGGGGTCGGCTCAGGGCCCACCCGGCCTCATAGGGGCCCTTCGGGCATCTGACCTGGCTGACCTCATCCTGAGGATGTTTCCGCTTACAGAAAGGCTGCTGCAAAGGGACGCGTGGTCCAAAAACAAAGCCTAATTTCCTTATCTTCTCTTGTCACGCTGGTGTATGCTGTAAGATTCTGCAGCCGGGGGGGCCAGGGGACCCATTGGAATGTTTCCACAACCTTGCTCTAGATCCTCGCTACTCAAAGTGACATTCACGACCAAGCATCACCTGGAAACTTGTCAGAAACGAGATCGGCATCTGGAGTTTAATGGGATCCCTGCTTGATTTCTGTGCACAGTCAAGTTGTAGGACACTGCTCAGAAGGCAGCGTTGGGTGGGAGGAATTAGGCCAGGTGTTGGGCTGCCAGGAGGGGGCGCCTGTGGTCTGTCTGGATCAAGATCATCAGTGTGAAGAGTGGGTGGTGGGCAGAGGCATGGGCTTTTCCAGGTGTTACCTTTTTGGTTGTCGTTGGCCTGGGGACTGGAGAGTTAGAACAGTTGCAGCAATGGCTTTCATAGTTCTTTACAATGGAGCTTTGTTTTCCAAATGACGATGTCAAGCCTTCTCCAGGAGAGAGGTGCTCCCTGCAGGACTGCGGCAGCTGGCAGCCTCTGAGGCCTTGCCGCAGAGTTCTGCGCCACTGCCGCAGCTGGAGTTGAAAAACTATTGGTCACAAGAACCTGCTCTCATCCCCTGTATTCTGCTGAGGGCTGCGCCTGACAAGTAGCCTGGCTCCTGGGGCTGCTGAGGGGACTTGGGGATTGACTTCGGGGGCCTTAGACCCAGACGATGCCTGGACACCCCATCCTGGCCCTGAAATGGGCCTGCCTGCATCTAGATTTTGGCTGGGAGCCTTGAGCCAAATTCTGCCTTGTACTTATAGGTATACCTTGTTGGTGGGCAAACCGCCTTTTGAGACTTCATGCCTAAAAGAGACCTACCTCCGAATCAAGAAGAATGAATACAGTATTCCCAAGGTGACTAATACTACTTTATTACTTATTTTTACCTAAAGCTGCTAAGTCTAGCCATATCCCAGGTCAGAGAAAGGTCAGCCTCACTCTGGGGTACCCACAGGGCTTTCGAGGGTCTGTGTCTGAAATTGCACGCAGAACTTGGTACATGTGTGTGCACAGGCTTTTTTTTTTTTTTCTATGGGGAGAGAGTTTGTAATTTCTCAAAGGAATGTGTGACCCAATGGATGCATAAAAGGTAAAAACAAACCAGGGAGGGAGTAGGAGGCAGAAGTGTTTAAGCTTTGGAAATAGAAACAGACTGCCTTGTTCAGACTGGCTGTCAATTAGCCAAGTGGACCACCTTGAATAAACGGCCTGAATCTTCTGAGCCATAGTTTCCAATCTATGAAATTGGCTGCCTCTGGAGTAAATTAAGGAGCCCTGGTGGCACAGAGGCTAAAGGACTCAGCTGCTACCCAAAAGGTCGGTGCTTCAAACCCACTAGCCGCTCTGCTGGACAAATATGTGGCAGTCTGCTTCTGGAAAGATGATAGCCTTGGAAACCCTGTGATGATAATGATGCACTGGCATCGAGTCGGACCTGACTCATACCCACCCCTCCTTGGGTTTCCGAGGCGGGATCACTACGGAAGTAGATTGCCCAGCCTTCCTTCCGAAGACTGCCTGGTGGGTTTGAACCGCCAGCCTCTGGTTAGCAGTCAGATGCCTTAGGCACTATGCCACCAGAAACCCTTTGGGGCAGTTCTACTTTGTCTGTAGGGTCACTAGGAATTGGACTCGACTTCGTGGCAGTGGGTTTGGTGTTTTGCTTGTATTTCGGTTCTAGAGCACCTTGCATTCGGTAAGTGTTTACAGAATCCTCAACCACTGTGCATCCATCCAGTGGCAGAGTCGTGTCCATTCTCACATCCACCAGCATACATGCATTTAAAGGAATAGCCGGTGCCTGCAGGAGCCTGGTTCGTGGTCACTTTCTAGATGGTGTCCTTGGTGTGTAGCCAGGAACTTTGTCTACCCATATAGTGGACACTAGGAGTCGGCTAACTCCGTCAGGTGCTTCAGGGTGTAGGTGGTCAAGCCACCTAGATGCCTGGGGCTGTGGATTCTGGCACCACGGCTCAGGAGGTAGTTCGTAGACAAGGAAGGCACTTAACCGCTCCATGCCTATTTCTTCTAGCAAAAGGGGGATGATAATAGAGTTGCCCCTGTCATAGATGTCTTCATGAGGGTCAAACGGATTAACGTACCCAGTGCTCAAAAAACTCTCCCAGCTCATAGTAAGTACGTAGTCAATGCTAGGGTGCTGCCATTCTGTCCCAGACTTGATCTCGGTTACAGCTCATTGAATCTTCTCAGCAGGTCTCCAAGATGCGCGCTAGGGGCCCTTTTACAGAAAATGATACAAAGGCCTTGGAAAGTCTGGTTTCTTGTCTAAATTCTCACAGCTAGTATTGAAGGGCAGAGCTGGGAGTTACAACCAGATCTTTAAGGCCCTAAAAGCCTGTGTTCTTGAGTGCTACTCTAGGGGGAGCAAATTCAGAGGGAGAGAATGAAAACTTACCTTGAGTCTCAAGAGGAAGGAAAAATTATCATTCTCACAACTTCGGTTGACACTTGTTGACTCAGTAAAGCTGCTAGTGGGGGAAAACTGGGATTATTTATAGCCACTGGATGGAGCATATTTGAGGCTGAGGCCGACCAGTCCTTCGGGCTGTGCTGTGCTCAGGGTCCCTGTCATAGCCTGCTTGTGGCTGCGCTCTCTCCTGCAGAACATCAACCCCGTGGCCGCCTCCCTCATCCAGAAAATGCTGCAGACGGACCCTGCCGCCCGCCCCACCCTCAGCCAGCTGCTCCAGGACGAGTTCTTCACTTCTGGTTACATCCCCGCCCGTCTGCCCATCACCTGCCTCACCGTCCCCCCCAGGTTCTCAATTGCTCCCAGCGGCCTGGATCCTAGCAACCGGAAGCCTCTCACGGTCCTCAATAAAGGTAAGATAAGGGTCTGGGTGGACAGCAGAGCCCCAGAGAAAGCCTGGGCTATAGGTATGTGGGTGGCTTACTCCCTGGCCCCCAGAGCCCTGGTGTGGAGTAGGCCAGTCTCCCGTCATGAACACCATGGCTCTCTCTCCTGTGGCAAATGTCCTTCTGCCCCTGGGCCCTGTCAGCAAAGACAGACCTGCCCATGGCTGATGCAGGCCCTTGGGCTCAAGTAGAGGAAAGAGGATCTTAAGTCCACACCTCAAAGATTCTTTTTGGTCATTTGAGGCAATTCCTAACACAACTCTTGCACAGTTCACTGAAAAAAAGTATGAAAAATTTCAAGAATACACACAGAGCATAATGTGGTGGACCCCCATGAACCAACTGTATTCAACAGTGATGGTTTGATTGCATTTGCTTCATTCCCCCAGCCTTTTTTTTTTTTTCCTTTTTTGTTCCTTTTAATGTTAATCCCAGATATCTTTTTCCTCTATCAACTTCAGTCTGTATCTCATTAAAAGACAGACGTTTGATAAAACCACATGCTGGGAGATTGTCACTGCTTCTAGGGCTCTTCAAAGTCAGAATTCAGAAAGACATCAGGGCAGGGTGTGGCTTGAGATGTTGGTATTCCTGATTTCCATTTTTTAAACGTTTTATCTTGATAGTGTTGAAAAGCTGCAAGAATAGACTTTTTACCCAGAGCCATGAATTAACTTTTTCTCCCTACTTTGTTAGTCTCTCTTTTTCCTGAACCATGTAAGGGTAAAGCTGTATACACCTTGTCCTTAACCACTCAGTGCTTCTGAGTATAGTTCCCAAGAACAAAGATTTTTATACACAACACAGTGATCAATTTCAGTAATTGTCGGCTTTAAATATAATATGATGGGATTTTTACGTTATTCTTCATCATATATAAACTAGTTCCTGGCAATAAATGACATTTTATTTTTCTGCAGTTGTTTCTCCTTAGACCATAGTCCATTCACGATATAGTATAAAAAATAAGTTCCTTAAAATAAGTTTTTTTTTTTCCTCTGTATTGATAATGCCACCAATTTGTTATACAACTTAATTTGTTCCCATTAGTTTTCAATCTTTAGGGATTGCTTTTTTTTTTTTTTTAAACTTTATTTGGAAATGATTTTAGACTCATACAGAAAAGTTGCAAAAATAGTACAGAGTTCCCATATCCCTTTCATCCAAATGCCCCTAATGTTAACATCTTAATATAACCATAGAGCGACGGTCAAAATGAAGAAAACAACGTTGGGACAATACTCTTGACCAACTGTTGTCTCCATTTGGATTTCACTGCTGTTTTCCGCTGTAACGCCTTTTTTCTCTTCCACAGTCTAGATCTAATCCAGGATCTCACATGGTAGTTAGTTGTCATGTCTCCTGGTGTCCTCCAACCTTAGACAGTTCCTCAATTTTCCCTTGACTTTCATATATAACCTTGACACTTAGGAAGAACCCTCCTGGCATTTGTAGAATGTGACTCCATTGGGCTTGATGTTTTCTCAGGGTCAGGTGATAGTGAACACGTTCTAGGCAGGAACAGCACAGAGGTGAACTTCCCTTCTCAGGGCATCATGTCAGGGGCTACGTGAGGATTTTGTTGTTGTTGTTGTTTTCAGTGGCTTATTTCTGAATGAGTCATTGGTTTCACGCCATCCAGGGACCCCAGAGTTAACCAAATGACCCAGCAAGTCCACTCTTGGGTTCCACTCCTGTTTTGGTTAGTTCGTGCTGCTCTAAAAGAAAATACCACAGGTGGATAGTTTTAACAAATAGGAGTTTATTCTCCTACAGTTTGGGAGGCTAGAAATCCAAGTTCAAAGCACCAGCTCTAGGGGCTGGGTGAAAGCCCCTCGACCTTGGGTTCAGCTCTGCTTCTTGCTCCCGGCCCACTGAAGCTGGAGGCTTTCTTCACTCAGGCAGCTGCTGGCTGCTGAGGCGACAAATCCAAGGTCAGCAAGTAAAAAGGCACAGTCCTGATATTATCAAACCACACGGCAGGCCTAGTCTGTTAAGAGTCCCAAGATCGACAGAGCATGGCAGGCTACTGAACAACAACCCGGCTACATGCAGGATTCAAGTGTGCCAAAAAGCTAGAGACCTTCCTCAAATTTGCTTCTTATATATGATAAGCAGACCACATTCCTAAAATGGCCACTCAGCTGCTCTAGTAGGTTCCACCATGAAGCTGATTACCAATCTCACCTTGGGGAGTAACTACATCCAGCTGCCCAGCCACTCAAAACCAGGCCCAGCCAAGTTGACACATAGCTTAACTACCACCACTCCCATGAGAACTGAAGACACGTTCTCAAAACACCATTAGTCATTTAAAAACAAAACAACAACAACAACAGAAAAAAAAACAGCCCAGAGGTGAAGTGCCCTCTGAGGGCATCATATCAGGGGCTGTGTGATACATATTTTCATTTTTACTGGTGACGTTAGCCTTGTTTACTTGCTTAAGGTGGTGTCTGCTGGGTTTCTCCCCAGCAAAGTTAGGATTTTCCCCTTTGTAATGAATAAATTCCTTGGGGAAGGTACTTGGAGAAGATCTGATTGCGCTCCAGCTTTGCCCACCAAATGTAGCATCCTGGGTGTGTCCTGAAGCAGTCAGTACTGTGGGGCTTGTCTGCCTCCCTCCTTCCCTTCTACATGAATGGGAATTCTTGTGTAAGGAAGAGCGGTTGCTTCTCCTCTGTTTGCATATTTATTTATTTGGTTATGTGTGTCAGTGTGGACTCATGAATATTTATTTCTTCTTGAGGTTATAATCGAATACTGTTATTTCAAGGATTACTTTTTTTTTTGGTCCTTTTGGTTTTAATTAAAGCACAAATTAATTAGAACCACAAATGTTTTGGGAGCTCTAGTAGCGTAGTGCCTAAGGCACTTGACTGCCAACCAGAAGGCTGGCGGTTCAAATCCACCAGCCACTCCTCGGAAGGAAGATGGGGCAACCTACTTCCGTAGTGATACTGCTTCGGAAACCCAAGGAGGGGTCGCTATGAGTCGGGTCTGACTCGAGGGCACATAACAATAACAACAAATGTTCTATTATCAAACTGACCCCAAAATAGAACGAACCGTGTGATGGCTTCTCACCATTTTCCAAAGTTAGCAACATTTGGCTGCATTTGCTTTATGTGTTCCACATCCCTGTCCCCTTTCTATTACAATAATTTCTTTCATTTTTTTTTTTTTTGCAATCGTATTTTAAAGCTAATCCCAAGCATCTCATTCACACTTAACATCCTTGTCACAGAATAGTTTTTTCCTTTTTTAATTTGAGAACTTTGAGCTTAAAATGCTTTAAGAAAAATGTCATATTATACAAGAGTAGCACACGGTGGGGGGAAAAAAACTAAACATTTAAGCATGAGGGCAATAAAAATTATCCATGTTGCTACCACCCAAATATAACCAATGTTAAAAATTTTGGTGTGTATCTTTTCAGACTCTTTTTGGTCATACATAAGCATATAAAGCAAATTTTAAGGTGGAAAATCTCTTCCAATGCCCCTTGAACATTTTCATTAAAAAAAAAAGCAATTGACATTGAGTCAATTCTGACTCACAGTGCCCCTAGAGGACAGGGTAGAACGGCCCTGTAGGGTTTCCAAGGCTGTCAGTCTTTAAGGAAGCAAAGCCTAAACCAAAACCACTCCATAGAGTTGATTCCGACTCACAGCACCCCTAGAGAACAGAGTAGAACTGCCCATAGGGTTTCCAAGGCTGTAAATCATTACAGAAGCTGCCTGCCACATCTTTCTCCCACTGAGTGGCTGGTAGATTTGAACTGCTGACCTTTTAGTTAGCAGCTGAGACTTAACTACTGTGCCACCAGGGCTCCTATTTTCACGTCAAGCCCTGTTGAATCCATCCTGCTGGTGAGCTCGGGTTTGCTAGGCCTTCCCATCTTGGATGCAGAGGATGCTTTTAGTCCTTTGCTTGACGCAGACAGCTCCACGCAGCCGGTGCCTCCAAGCTGCCTTCCTGAGTGGCATGTGGTGTCCCTAAGGCTGCCCCATTGGGCCAGAGGCGTGAGCCTCTAATGCTCTGTGACTGTGCGTGGCCGTGACACCCTCCTAGAGGCCTTGGCCCGGCCCTGCAGCTACTGCGAGTACCATGTACCTGTTGTGGGAGCAGGGCAGCTGCTCCTCTGACTGTCCTGACTCAGTTTCCTCAAAGCAATGGCACCTGAAAGAGCTCTGCTCTGGGGAGAGCTCCAACTGTGGCAGGGACCCTGTGCCTCTCCCCACCGCCCTGCTTTTGTGCCCAGCTAATGGCTGCCTCATCTTCCTCCTAGGCATAGAGAACCCCCTTCCTGAGCGACCCCGGGAAAAAGAGGAACCAGTGGTTCAGGAGACGGCAGAGGCCATCGACTGCCATCTTGGGGACATGCTGCAGCAGCTACACAGTGTCAATGCCGCCAAGCCCTCAGAGCGGGGGCTGGTGAGGCAAGGTGGGCACAGTGGGGCTTGGTAGGGGGTGGGTTTGCCTGGCATATCTGGAGAGGGCAGGGTCGTCCCAGCCAGCGGACTGTTAGCGGCTTGTCCAGGCCTCTGTCGCTGTAGTATCTGTGCTTCCCTCACTTCCTGTAGATGGAATTCAGATGAGTTAGCTCGACTTTCAGGCCCTTGTTCGCCTTCTGACCCCCCTGCTGCACCGCACAAATGCCCCGTCTTCCAGCCACCTCGCATTACCAGCTGTATTTACATGGGCTTTTTCTTCTGCTCTGTGAAGTCTTTATCCTTTGAAAGAGTTGAAAGAACAGACCCGGTCATGCTCCAGTCTGGGGCATCTGCTCTTACTGTCCCCCCTGAACGCCGTCCCCCAGCATCGGCGTGGTCACACTCATCCCACCTCCTGGGCCTGCTCCACTGGCCCCTCCATGACCGCTTCCCTGTTCCCCAGCCCCCTCCAGCCCCCTCACCTGCCACAGATTTCTCCATAGCACTTCTCACCTGACTCTCGAAACTCTCCATATCTATTTCTGTGTTTAAAGTAAGAGGTTTATGGCATGTTCTGAACATAGCATTTTGATACATTGGAATTGTCCTTTCACAGTTGTTTGTTATTGTAAAAACAGAGGTCACACCTCATTGGCCAACTCAACATCTTCCACATAACACAAGTCAGTGAGGCCAGTTACACCAATCATGCTGTGCAACCATCTCTGTCATCCTTGGCCAGGTTTCCCGTCCCTGTAGAGAAAAATCTCAATGCTTCCTGGACAGGAATCCCCCCTCCCACTCCTTCCCACCCCAATAACCACCATTAAACTCTGAGTCTAGATCCTCCCATAATTTTTTAATCACTAGGTAATCTGCCAGCCCCTCTTACCATGATAGAAGTAACTTACATATTTTATCCAGATTCATTTTTATTGTGATATATATCGAAACATTTGCCATTTCACCATTTTTTCACATGTACAGTTCAGCGACATGGCTTATGTTCTGCACGCAACCATTACCACTATCCGTGTACAGATTTTCTGTCACCCTTAACGGAAGTTCGGTGCCCCCTAAGCAGTGGCTTCCTCGTATCCATGTTTATTTTTATTACTTTTGTCCATGCAACCAGAACGCGAGCTCCACGAAGGCTGGGGTTTTGTTGCTTGGTCACTGTGCCTGCGACAGTGCCCGGCACCCAGTAAGCCTTCAGTGGATGCGCTGAATGAATGAATGAGTGGCACTTAATACACAGCGCTGTAACCTTCTGCTTACAAGTCTGTCCCGCTGCTTGCCCGAACTTCTTGGTGGCCAAGGCCATGCCTTGACCTTTTCTGGGGCCCCGGCCTGGCTTACAGTAGGTGTCTCCTCTGCTTCTTGACTGAGCCCAGGTGTGATGCCTGGAAGCTTCCCTGGTGTGGGCTGTGAGGGGACCAGCGGGGAGGAGCCTGGCCCCGGCCAGTCACCTGTCTGTTTCCGTCTCAGAGGAGGCCGAGGACCCCGCCTGCATCCCCATCTTCTGGATCAGCAAGTGGGTGGACTATTCAGACAAGTATGGCCTCGGTAGGTGTCTTCTAGAATTGTGGGTGCCTCGGGGACCACCCAGTGACCCTGAGTTGTTGGCACTCTTGTCTTTCTTTGCTCCCAGGCCCCCTTGTCTCAGCACTCGCCTATCTCCATCCCAGGCCCCCAGTACCTGCTCCCAATGCCCCATCCCCCCGGTCCTCACTCCCTATTTCTGAGGTCTCCCCCACCTACTGCTAGGGTATCAGCTGTGTGACAACAGTGTGGGGGTGCTCTTCAACGACTCAACCCGTCTCATCCTCTACAACGACGGTGAGAGCCTGCAGTACATTGAGCGTAACGGCACAGAGTCCTACCTCACCGTCAGTTCCCATCCCAACTCCTTGATGAAGAAGGTGAGTGCCGCCAGCCCTCAGGTTTGGTTTGTCAGGAGCGGTGGCTGGGTCAGGGCCAGGGCCAGGCTATCAGTCTGGACTGCCTGTGCCACTTTCCCAAACAGATCACACTCCTGAAGTATTTCCGGAATTACATGAGCGAACACTTATTAAAAGCCGGTGCCAACATAACTCCGCGGGAAGGTGATGAACTGGCCCGGCTACCCTACCTGCGCACCTGGTTCCGCACCCGTAGCGCCATCATCCTGCACCTCAGCAATGGCTGTGTGCAGATCAACTTCTTCCAGGTGAGCCTCATGGACTTGGCATGGGGTGTCTGTGGCTGGCAGTGGCCCCACAGGAGCTGGGTGGGTTGTGTGTCTACAGTGAGGGCTCTCAGCCCTTGGCAGCAGCAGTAAGAAGGGAGTGAGTTGGGATGAGGGCACCCCTCCATCAGCTGGAATATCCCGTTTCCTCCCATAAAACACCCACTGCCATCTCCGAGTCGATTCCGACTCCCAGCGCCCCTGGAGGACAAAGTGGAACTGCCCTACAGGGTTTCCAAGGCTGTGATCTTTACGGAAGCCAAGCCCAAACAAATCCACTGCCGAGTTGATTCTGAAAGAGCGCCTCTAGAGGACAGAGTGGAACTGCCACATAGGGTTCCCAAGGCTGTAATCTGATGGTTCAAACCCAGCAGCCACTCCCCAGAAGGAAGGTTGGGCAATCTACTTCCGTAGTGATACCGCCTGGGAAACCCAAGGAGGGGTTGCTATGAGTCTGGTCTGACTTGACGGCACGTAACAAAAACAACAATCTTTATGGAAGCAGAGTGTCACATCTTTCTCCCACGGAGTGGCTGGTGGGTTTGAACTGCCCACTTTTGGTTGGCATCTGAGCATTTAACCACAGCACCACCAGGGCTCCTGATTCCTCCCCTCCACTGCCCTAGTACACTGGCTGCTGGGATCTTCAGTTCACCGTCCAACTCCCTCCCCTTCTAGGACCATACCAAACTCATCCTGTGCCCACTGATGGCGGCCGTGACCTACATCAACGAGAAGCGAGACTTCCGCACGTATCGCTTGAGCCTCCTTGAGGAGCACGGCTGTTCCAAGGAGCTGGCCAGCCGGCTCCGCTACGCTCGCACCATGGTGGACAAGCTGCTGAGCTCACGCTCCGCCAGCAACCGCCTCAAGGCCTCCTCATAGCCCTCCCGCCCTTTGGACTGGTGCCCCTCTTTGCTCCCACCAGCACCTGGGGGCCTACACTGGTTAGCCCCTCCGTGTTGTTTTTCTTAATGTGTCTCCCAGCCCTGGGGGCCGGGAAAAGAGCTACACCATCCTTGTAGGTGGGGGTTACTATGTAAGTTATTTTTTCTTTTTTTTTACATATTCAGGTGTGGGTCCTATAGCCCTTCCCCTTCCCTCTCAACCCCACCATATGAGTTGTACAGATAATTTCTATTGGATTTTGGACTGTTCTATCCTTGGCTTTAAATACATTAAACATATATGAATCTTCTACTTCCTGTATTCCCTTTGCTCGGGGCCCCCCAGGCTGCCAGACCTCTGCCTGTCTCTTCCGACTCAGAGGCTGGCCCAGTCACAGGCTCAGCTCCCCTGCCGGCCTGGGTGGAGGCCCCTGGTTCTCAGCTCCCAGCGGCCTCTGGGCATGGCTCCCCGGCCCCGAGGTTGGCGGGTAGTAGGGCAGGAAGAAGCTTTCTGAGGCACAGCTCCCCATGGCGTGGTACGTGTGCAGAAGCAGCCGGGGGAAGCGGTTTGTGAAGTACTGGATGAAGCTGTCCGGGACTTGGCCCAGAGCCTGCCGAACCTCCAGCGGGAGCTCCCGGTAGTGGTGCCTCTGGAAGAGGGAGACCAGAGAACCCTGGCTGAGCTGCGGCCGGGCCTTCCTGCTGTGGGGAGAGGACCCACGCTCGCCCCAGAGCCTCACCTTGTTCCTCATGGCACGGAGCAGGTCACGCACTGAGGTTCCTTTATACGACCGGAACCTTCTCAGATCTGTGGACGACGGGGAGAGCGTTGGCAAGGCTGCCCCCGCTGAGTCTGACCTCAGCCTCCCAGGCCACCCCGAGTCTGGCCCTCTACCTGTCTGCAGTGGCAGCGAGATGTGCTTGTGCCAATTGCCCCGGACCACCACGTGGCCGCCCGCCTCCAGCGCCATCACCAGGGGCTCCTGCTCGGCCTCCTTCTCCAGCCAGTCACTGACGTCCTAGGAACCAGAGCTCCTGAGTCTCATGGCCAGTATTAGGCTTGGGGTGTTGCATGAGCAAAGGGAGTAGAGTCGTGAAGGCTTGGGTTAGGTTGTAAGAACTGTTGCCTCTTAAGTGCAGCTCCTCTGTGCTATGCGTACCCCCATGTTATCCCACCAGCTCTTCAGGGTCAACTTGAGGCAGGTGTTATTGTCCCCATTTCATGGATGCACAAACGGGCTCAGAGATACAAAGTACCTTGCTCTAGGTCACACGGGTGGAATCAACTCTCTGGGCCCAAGTACAGCGTGAATGACATGGAAAAATGGGGTAGATTCTGGCACAGGGACAACTGTGGATGCTGGAATGCCAAGATGGCGAGGCTTAGGAGCCCAGGCTTCACCCAGTTGGGAGTTAAGGAGCCAGGCCACCTGGAGCAGGTAGCTAATTCTCCCCCCACCAGTCTGGCTTCCCCTTGTTGCTCGGACCCCAAACCTGGAGCTCTCTGGGGCCACTCCCAAGATTTCCCTCTGACCTGGAAGAACTGGAGCTGCTTGGCTCTGCTCCAGAAGAAGGGGTGGGCCAACACCTGAGGGGCAGAGGGCCGGGCCTGTGGTCGTGTGCTCAGCATGGCCGCCACCAGGTCCCTGGCAGCCATCTTGTCTGTGGGGTGGAAGAGGAGGCGTGGCTTAAGGCCCGCCGAGCCTACTGACCTTCCTGCCCCTCTGCTGCCCGTTTCTCTCACCATGGACCTCCTCCTCCAGGTGAGCCAGACAGGGCGTCCCCGCAAGGATGTTGGCCTGGCGATAGAGACTCTCTCCAAATGGGTGGCTGCCGCCAGAAAGCACGTAGTAGAACACGCAGCCAGCTGAGAAGATGTCCACCGCGCTGGTCTGGGGGCCAGAGATGCAGATAAGGAAGACTGCCTGGCCTGTGGTAGCAGGGCTTTGACTCAGCCTGAGCCTGCTGCTCCCTCCCATTCCTCTGGACCCGTGAAAAGGGCCCACAGTTTTCCTTGACAGCCCGTGCCCCTACGGAGCTTCAGTCCAGGTTCACAGGTTTCATGCATTTTGGGCTGAGGCAGGTAGCACAACCGGGTGACACCTCCGGGCCTGAGGCCGTACGGCTGGTGCTGGGCCGGCTCTGCCCAGGGGCAGCTGGTACTTAGCTCCAGCTCACTGTTGCCAAAGGACTCTGCGGGGGGTGGGGATGGGATGGGGGTGACAGATGGGACAGAACTTCTAATCTTCCAAGAGAATTCAGAAATCCAGATGTTTATGTGGCATTCCCCAAATATTAAGATATTGGCCACTAATTAAAAAAAAAACCAAAACTTGTAGGCTAGATCCTGTCCCTTGAGCCTCTAGGTTACGCCCTCCGGCTTTCAACTCTACAGGTGGGGTGGCTTTGCACTCTCATCAGTGCCCACGACTTCAGCTTCCACCCACACACTGGTGACCCCCAAATCTGTAACCCTGGGATCCTAAACTCAAGTCCCCACCAGAGTCTAACACTGTGCTGTGAGCTCATCGGATGCTCCCCAGCCTCCCACCGGGGCACTTGACTCTGGGCACACATTACAATCACCTGGGGCCCCAGCCCAGCCCAATTAGGTCAGAAGCACTGGGTGTGGGGCCCGGGCATCTGAGTTTTCACAAGTTCTCAGGTGATTCTGCAGCATGGCGAGGCCTGAACATCATCTTCTAGCACAGGGTTTTTCAGCCTCAGCACTATTCATATTTTAGGCATGATAAGGGGCCCTGGTGGTACAGTGGGTAAGACAATTGGCTGCCAACCAGAAGGTTGGTGGTTCAAAGCCACTATGGGAAGAAGATGAACCAATCTACTTGTGTAAAGATTCACAACCTTGGAAATCCTACGGGGCTCACTATGAGTCTGAATTGACTCAATGGGACTGGGTTTAATCTTTTGTTGTGCACGTGTGTGTGTTTGTGGAGGCCTATTCTGCTTATTATAAGATGTTAGTAGCATTCCTGGACTCTATCCACCAGTAGCACTCCTGCCACCAGTTGTGACATTTCCAGACACTGAAAAATGTCCCTAGGAGTTGAGGGGAACTGTCCCCAGTTGAGAACCACTGCTCTAGATAAAACCAAACCAAACTAAACCCATTGCTGTAGAGTCAATTCCAACTCAGCAACTCTACAGGACAGAGTAGAACTGCCCCACAGGGTTTCAATCTGGCATCTTTATGGAAGCGCTCAGCCACGTTTTTCTCCTGCACAGTGGCTGGTGGGTTCAAACTGCTGACCTTTCGGTTGGCAGCCATATGCTATAACCTCTCTGCTGTAGATTAAACACCAAACTCAACTGCCACCGAGTTGGTTCTGACTCATAGCGACCCCCATTGGATTTCCAAGGCTGTAAATCTTTATGGAAGTAGATTCCCTTATCTTCCTCCCATGGAGTGGCTGCTGGGTTTGAATCGCTGATCTTCTGGTTAGCAGCCAATGTCGTACCCACTATGCCACCAGAGCTCTTTCTGCTATAGATAAGAAGGGCTAAATTATCTTCATTTTACAGATGAAGAATCGTTGGCCTGGACGAGTCACCCAGGGTGGAACAGGACAGACTCCAAGCCTCAGCTGCTGCTCAGTTCACCAGGATGGGGCAGAACCCGTAAGGCTATGGCAGGTGACTCCCAGGTGGGAAGACTCACAGGGCTGTCAGCGGGCGGGAACTGAAGGAGTTCGGGTGCCATCCAGCCTTCCGTTCCGGGGATGCCTGAGCGCAGACTGAAGCTCCAGCGGCCGGCAGGCAGCTTCTTGCAAAGGCCAAAGTCCGACAGGACCACCCTGCCTCTGCCCTGGGTGTCAGGCCCCGCGATGAGAATGTTCCCGGGCTTCAGGTCCCTGTGCACTGTGGAAGCAGCGGGGGTGCTGGGCTGGGGAAGGGGGAAGGGAGGGTCAAGGATGGGGGGCGGAAGGTGGACCAGTACCTACCTATGTGCAAGGAGTGCAGGTGGGCCAGGCCAGACATCAGCTGCTGGAGCAGCCCCTCGGGCTCCAGGCCCCAGAGGTCCAGGTTGGGGCTTTCCACATACTGAGGACCAGCAAGGGACAGAGCATCACCGTGGAGCTGGGGCTGCCAGGCCACCCACCAAGACCTGGCTGTGCGTTGGCCTCACCTCCTGTAACGAGGCCCGGCAGAGCTCCAGGGCGATGTAGTGGAACTGGGGCCCCCGCTCCGTGCAGAAGTAACGGACCACGTTGGGGTGCCTGTCGGACTCCTGCAGCAGCTGGACCTCGCGCTGGACGAGGCCAAAGCATTCACGAAGGAGTCGTTTGACAGCCACTGCCCGCCCCTCAAACTGTCCCCTGGGAGGTGCGTGAGCAGGAGGTTCAGAGGGAGCGGGTAAGGAGAAAGGGTGGGAACTAGTGAGTGAAGTACCGACTGTGTCCCCCCCTTGAGGGGTCCATGGCAAAAATGGCTCCCCACGGTCATTAGCGCCATGTCTCCATCCAGACTGGCTCCTGGATACCACTCACCGGAACACGAAAGTGCCTCCTGCCCCGCGGCCCAGCACGTCCTTGGGATTGAAGGAGATCTTTCCCACCACAGTGAGCGGCTCAGCTAGGGGGCGAGAGGAGGGTGGGGTCTCAGGGAGCCACGCCTCTCATGGCATCTACCTGCTACGCACCCACTCACCCCTCCTCAGCCCACCATCTGCTCCTTCTTCCCTCATCCATACCCCCACCCAGTCCAGAGCAAACGCCTGCCACCTTGACCTTTCTCCTAGCTCCCACCCTCAGGTGCCCAGCCTGGTGCAATGGTGCCAGGCTGCCTGGGTCCAGTGCCTGGTGCTGCCATGTACTCTGTGTGACCTTGGGCAAGTGACTTAAGCCTTCTGCCTTTGGGTTTGTGGACCGCAAAGCAGGGGTAGTTAACGCTCCCTCACAGTAGCACTGGGGATGAATGCATAGAAAATGTACACAAAATACATAGAAAGAAGGGGGAGTGGTCGTGTTTGTCCCATGACCCTTTTTGTCATTCTCTCTCTCAGCATGTCCTGGCCACCTTTCTTTCCTTCCTCTACTACTCTCCGCACCTCTACTGGTTACAATTGAGCCCTTCTAATAGTTTTACTTGAGCCCATCTCAACATAAAATGACAATCCTCACAACTGGACCAATAAGCAACATCACAATGAATGGAGAAAAGATTGAAGTTGTCAAAGATTTCATATTACTTGGTTCCACAATCAACACCAATGGAAGCAGCCGCCAAGACATCAGACGATGTATTGCACTGGACAAATCTGCTGCAAAAGACCTCTTTAAAGTGCCAAAGAGCAAAGATGTCTCTTTGAAGACTAAGGTGCATGTAACCCAAGCCATGGTATTTTCAATCGCCTCATATGTATGTGAGAGCTGGACAATGAATAAGGAAGACTGAAGAAGAGTTGATGCTTTTCAGCTGTGGTGTTAGTGAAGCATACTGAGAATGCCAAAAGAACTAACAAACCTGTCCTGGAGGAAGTGCAGCCAGAATGCTCCTTGGAAGCAAGAATGGCCAGACTTCATCTCACCTACTTTGGTCATGTTATCAGAAGGGACCATTCCCTGGAGAAGGATGTCATGCTTGGTAAGATTGAGGGTCGACGAAAGAGGGGAAGGCCCTCAATGAGATGGATTGACACAGTGGCTGCAACAATGGGCTCAGGTATGGCAAGGATCGTGAGGCTTGCCCAGGACCGGGCAGTGTTTTGTTCTGTTGTACGTGGGGTCGCTATGGGTTAGAGATGACTCAACGACATGTAACAACAACAACAATTGAAGGTGAAAGGAGCCCTGGTGGTGCAGTGGTTAAGCACTTGAAAGTTTGGTGGTTGCTTCTCAGGGGAAAGATGTGATACCCTGCTGCCCTAAAGATTTACAGCTTTGGAAACCCTAAGGGACAGTGTTACTCTGTCCTATCTATAGGTTTGGTATGAGTTGGAATCAAGTCAATGGCAATGGGTTTGGTTGGGTTTTTAAATGAGTTTGAAGGGCTCTAGGTGATACCAATTGGTTGTGCTCGACCACTAATTGAAAGTCTGGTGGTTCAAACCCACGCACTGGTGCTGGGAAGGAAGGCTTGGTGATCAGCTATTGTAAAGCTGATAGTCTGGAATGCCCCATGGACCTCAGTTTTACTCTGAACCACATGGGGTCACCATGGGTTGGAACTGACCCAATGACAATGGCTTTTTAAAGGTGAGATTGAATCTGCTTTAAGTAGGAAGGTGAGTTGGCAGCTGGGAACATGATGTGATGGCGTGTGGTCCTGGACAGTAGGGGGCAGCAGTGGGCACTTGAAGCCAGAGTTAATTCTAGGGTATTAGAGAGCCCTCGGGAAGGCTTTGGTTTCCCATTGAGTGGGATGGGGTTGGCTCGGGTGGGCAGCTCGCACAGTTTCCTTGGCTCGTCTGTGAGAGACCCCTCACTCTGACCCAGGTGTGTCTGGACAGGCTCAGAGGGCACCATTCAAGTGGCTCCACATGTACGGCATCCCTAGAGTGCAGTGCATTGTCCCTGAGAAGACCCCACTTAGGAACAGCTGCTGGCTTCAGTCTCTACCACCAGCTTTAGGAAAAGCAGCTGAAAATAGGGTTCAGGATCAGTTGGCAAAGTACCAAACTGTCCCTTGGCATTGCTCTGGGTTAGCTGCTTTAACATTTGCTGTCGTCTGCCAGTGAGATGCAGGCAGTGACGTAAATTAGCGTACAGTGGACTCCAAGGAGTGGGCGGGGTGGTTCAGGACCTTGCTGGAAACATAGCACCCAAGGATAAGGCCTCGCTGTCTCTCTGGGAGCTCAGAAAGTAGGGACAGATCTGCTGAATGAACCCCTTAGGAACCAGATCGGCTCATTTGACTCCAGGTGAGGTCACAGGCCCATTCAGGTGAACTTAATCCCTCCTCCCTCTGAGCCCTTCCAGCCTGTCTGTTGTACCATCCACCTGTTCTCTGACGTTTCCCATCCTTGCATACCCACCTTCCCAGCTTTGGGAGCCCTCGACATGCCCACAGTCCCTACTGCTCCCTACCGTCTCTCCTCCATGGCTGCTTCACTCACTGACCTTATGCACCTGGCCTCTCCGTGAGCATGTGTTTGCAGCCTCACTTTCAGATTCCAGAATGTGTGTGCTGCTTTCTGTCATCTCTGAGCTATGGCACGTGATGTTTCTGTCACCGGGAAAGCTCTTACCCCACTCCGTCCTGCTCACTTAGGTCATTCCTTCTTATCCTTTGGATTTCAGTTTAGACATCACTTCTAGGAATCAGCCTTTCCCCGTAGGTCTAGGTCACACACCCCTCTTCCGTGTCCCCATAGCTCCCTGTCTGACCATCACAGCACTGACCACACCATAATCATTGCCTGGTTTCTTGTCTCCTCCCACCCCATCTGCTGCTAGCAGCAAAGCTTTCCCTACAGGTTATGAAAGTGTCAAAGTAAGGAGTGTATTAGCACCTTAAACAGAGAACAAAAACAAACCAAACCTGCTCCATTGAGTCGATTCTGACTCACAGTGACCCCCGTTGGGTTTCCGAGGCTGTAAATCTTTACGGAAGTAGACTACCTCATCTTCCTTCCATGGAGCAGCTGGTGGGTTTGAACCACCAACCTTCTGTTTAGCAGTCAAATGGCTTAGGCACTGTG